CTCAAGCAAATTTAACACTTCTCAAGCACTGCAAAATTAAATAACATGTAGGTATCTTCTTAAATTCAACACATTTTTAAATAAATGGACTTTTTAGTGTATACTTCAGTGTGTTGAGAATGTGGCGGAACCATTTCATCTATTCTTTTTATATTAGGATTAAGAAGACCTATCGTGTCAACCGAATCAATCACTGATAGTATCCAAAATGGATAAAACTTCCAATCTGTCGTTTTGCATACTCTTGAGAGATTTCCTCAGCCAAGTTCTTGCATAAATTTTAAAAACTAAATTAAATCAAGCTACAATAGAACAGAGGTTACAACAGATTTAATATAGAAGTTGGCATTTGAGAATCTTATGTAATTCAAACTAATAAAACAACAGTTTCCAAGAAATGAAGTGATCATGTAAAACAGGAACTCAAGAATCAGCTTAAACTCAAATTACAACATTAGATTGAACGAAAATTCAGTAACATCATAAAAGTGTATTCAAGAACTAATTACAGTAATTATATCAAAACATAAAAGTGTACTGGACAGTTACCTGCGAATTGCAGTAAGCTTCAAACGTTTGATTTCTTGACTCAAGAAATGGTCAGCATTTCCAACACGGTAAATTAAAGTTGATCAATTTTTGATGGGGTGACACTAAAAGTTTTGGTACATATCTTGGATCGCGAGAACTGACCACAAAACTGGAATTGAGACTAATCACTGTGTGGGTACTTGACAAACACAGAAAAAAAAGAGAAAATCTATTAACACTTGAACCAACCAGTGAACAAAAGACAGGGAAAAACAAGAGGTAGCATTTTGAATGAAAAGAAAAGATAGAAAATTTGAATTTAAATGTTGATGTGATGGATATTTGAAAGTAGACTTGAATATAATTGAAGAAAAAATACAGTAGAAAAATTATAAAGGAAACTTAAGGTTACGAAGATAACACCCAACATGCCATTATTATTCAACAAATATTTTACTTTAGAAACAAACATACTCAAATTAAGTTATCAAACTAACAAGGAATTAGCATTTAGCAATCTACAATTTCTTAGTATAGTATGTCGCATCTAAAAATTAAATCCAATTTTTTAAACGTTATCATTATATTTCTAAACCACAAATCTTAAATTAAACT